TGTGTATGTGTGTGTATGTGTGTGTGTGTGTGTGTGTGTGTGTGTGTGTGTGTGTGTGTGTGGTGTAGGAACAGAGAGAAGGAGGAATGGGGGTGTAACATATGTGGTGTGTGTCTGCTGTGGATGATTGTTTGATAAATAAAACACTGATTGGCCAGTAGCCAGGCAGGAAGTATAGGCGGGACTAGAGAGAGGAGAAAGGAAAGGACAGGAAGGCAGGAGGGGGAGACACCAGCTGCCGTCCAGGGAGCATAATGTAGAGGCAGCAGGTAAAGCCACGGAACACGTGGCGACACATAGATTAACAAAACTGGGCTGAGTATAAGAGTAAGAGCTAGACAATGGTAGGCCTGAGCTAATGGCAGAGCAGTTTAAATAATATAAGCGTCGGTGTGTTTATTTTATAAGTGGGCTCCGGGACTGGCGAGGCTTGGCAGGAGCTGGAGAGAAACACTCCAGCTACATGTGTCTGTGTTTGTGGGAGGTGTTTCTGTGTGTATATGTTGGGGGATGGGGTTGTACCTATGTGTGTGAGGGTAGGTGGGGGAGGAGTATATATGTGTATGGTGTGTGTCTGCATGCGAGCGTAGTATTGGGGTGTGGAGAGGAAGGGGATGGGGTATGTGGTGTGTGTGTGTGTAGGGAAGCAGGAAGTGTGTGTATGTGTATGTAGTGTCTGTGTGTGTGTATGTGTGTTGAAGCAGAGGAAATTTCTATAGTATATATATTGATAATAAAAATTAGCTTATAATAGCAATAGTGGATCATAAATTCTTTTATTGCTTTTTACTTTTTTATATTTTCTTGTGTAAATGCTTTACAGACAGAGGTCACTCTTATTATTAGGAAAAAGCAATTTCTGTTTTAAAAAGAGAATGCATGAATGCACCACAGCCACGTTGGTCCAATAACATTGATTAAAGAACTAAGCACATAATTCTTCAGAAATAGCCCTTTAACAATACAGTGGGCTCAGAAACCCAAGCAATGAGGAATCAGATTAATGTCTTCTTCAAGAGGAAAAATTACACGCATCACCAGCTCTACCTTTACACAGCAAGACATGCACACATTTCATCACTAAAATTAATTTTTAATTATTCATTTCTAAAAACAACAACAGAAAGCCAGCATGAGTATCTAGGAACCTAAGAAAATTTTGGTGCAAGAAAATCAACAAAGAGTTAATGGGAGAAACCCTTTTCAAAGAAAGAGAAATATTATACATAATTTTCTTGCCCGTTAAAGGAAGACTCCTTCTGGTCAGGAAAATAGAATCTCTGTAGGTGGAGATGGAGTCCCAGCACTCCAGGTGGACAGGGTCAGTAACCTGGCTAAGGATCTCAGGAAGGCAGAGTCACCTTAAGCCATATCAAAGATGTGAGAGGACTAGTCAATCCTTAATGAGAGGACACACTTTCCTTCCCAGAACCCCCACCCACAGCAGACCTGGGACTTGAGCCACAGGTGTTTGCCTGAGTCATAACTGTTCCCTGGCCTTCTCTTCTGTCTTCTCTTTGGGGTGCTGGTCAGAACCCAAGCGTGCTTCGGGCACTTTGAACTACTCTACCTTTTCTCTTCATAAAGTCCCCTCCTTGCCATGTGGCTACCTGGCCACCAAGCTGCTGGCCTTTGTGTTATTCAAAAGAATGGCTCTTTGTTTTTTTCCTTCTCTTCTCCAAGCTGAGATTCACGGCTTGCCTGCCACGGAGTTTTTCTTTAAATGCTAACAAACTTTTTCTCAAACTCCAAAACAAATAAATGACTTTCCTTTAGTACTTTTTATTAGTAAGGAACACCTACTGCTTTAGGGGGGCGTGACGCTTACGCGGCCTTATTGTGAACCCCTTCCTCTCCCTTTTCTGTTTCTAAATATCCTGGTTACAGTGCTCGTC